TATTTAATTATTAAAGTGGATGTCGAAATACAAAAAAAAAACCTGTAACTACATTCCGCGACGTACTAATAACCCACCTTGTATATTAAATAAATTTATCGTCATCATCAAATATTAAAAAAATTATATTACAAGCTGTTTAAAATATTATTACGAATTTAGTTTATTTGGAAATATATTTTCTGCAGTATTTCAATACCAAAAAATGAAAATAGTAGGTAGCTAATTAACGAAATTATGATTAAATAACTTAATTGTAACACCACTGCAGAATATCATATGATACATACATAGATATTCGTTGATTCTTTAAAAACATTTTTATCAATACCTACATCATACATTGAAGTAAATACAGTAACGCAAAAAAACAGATATTGATAAAAAAGTGTACAAAAGAAATCCGTAAGTACGCCTGGCAACATTACCAAAGTCTTGTTTATATGTTGCTAGGATACGCTTAGGTATGCGGGCCGCTGTATTTGATTCTTCCTAAAATTCTGCTGGTGGTGTACTCTACCGGCAATTCGGAAATTTAAAACTGCTGGCCTATTCCAGGAGCGGTCTGTGGCGATAGCTATTTTGTCTATGGTGATGGTGTAATTTTTATAAAGAAGTAAAAAATAAGAATAGTGAGCTTACTTTGCTTAATTTTTTAATTGGTACACAAACTAGTTTTACAATGAACCGGGAAAACAATGCATTTACTATTTCCGAACGTGTCGATATGGTGTTAGTATATGGTGCACCCGGAGAAAATGCGCTCGCGGCGACTAGGTTGTACCGGGAACGATGGCCACAACGTCACCCCCATGCGCAAATACAATCCTACAGTGCGTTCAGCGGCTGCGAGATACGGGAAGTGTTATTCCTCGAGAAGAAGGACGTGGTCAGCAAATGAATCTTAATGTTGAAGATGCAGTGTTGGAAAATCTTGACGAAGATACCACAATTAGTACCCGATGACTCGCAGAGCAAGTAGGAACCTCGTCTTGTACCGTACATCGCATCTTAAGGCGTCAGCTGTTGCACCCCTATCATCTGCAATCAGTTCAACCGATTTTACCCCCGGATTGTGATCAACGAATACGTTTTTGCAGATGGTTTTTACGGCAATGTGCCAATCAAGTAGACTTTCCTGTTTATGTTTGTGTAATAGATGAGGCGATATTTACCCGTGATGAAGTGAATTCTCATAATATGCATATATGGGCCGATGAAAATGCTAACGCGATTAGGGAAACTCATTTTCAACATCGGTTCTCGGTAAATGTTTGGGCTGGCATAATAGGCGATGTACTTGTGGGTCCCTATTTCTCTGAAGGACGATTAAATGAACCAACCTATGCTGACTTTTGGAGAACCGGTTGCCTGAATTATTGGACGATGTGGCATTACAAGTTCGGGCACGCATGTTTTATCTTCAAGATGGGGCTCCTCGATACAGTACTCGAGAAGTAACGACACTTTTTCATGAAATGTTTCCTCAGCGATGGATTGGACGCTATGGTCCTGTGTCGTGGCCACCTCGATCACCCGATCTAACTCCAATGGACTTTTCTCTTTGGAGTCACTTGAAGTCATTGATTTACAATACTCCAATTGCTACGGTGGAAGGACTGCGAAACCGTATACTTGAAGCTGCTGACACAATTACGGGAATACCCGAAATTTGGGAAAATATTCGCCAAAATTGGGTGCGTCGGAGCCATGCCTCTATCAGCGCTAATGGGGATCAATTTCAACATTTTCTCTAGAAATGGTTCAGAAAAGTTTTATTTAATTTTGTTGTATATTTTAATGGTGTTTGTTTAGTGCACGCAGTTGGTAACTACATATGCTTACGAATATGGTTTTGTTTGCGAACTCTTGCAGTAACAACATTGCATTTAAGATAATAATTACTATAAATTATTATAATAAGAAAATATTAGTTTAAATATATATTTTTCTTAGTTTGTACTTTTGAATTGAAAAATTCCCCAAAAATTGAGAAGTATCTTTATATCTTTCAACGACGATTTGTTTACGCGGCTGGTCTACAGCACGTAACTCATCGTACACCACATGGACCGTTCCAGAGAAAATATTTTGATACATAATTGAACTTTAATTTACGAAACACAAAAAAATAGAACTTTTTCGTATAAGACTTTTCTGTTACAAATATCCTTAGGAAGCTGTAGCTTAATTTTTAAAGATTATACACGCCACACCCTGTATAAAATTTTAAATTTCCCAACGGTCGGAGAATATAGGAAAACACGATTAGCCGTGACGCAACACGTGCGTCATTTAATTAAATAGAAGTGTCTTCCCAAGAACAAACAGTAAATTAATATAATGTCAAGTGTTCCGTACAGCTATAATTTTAGAGGAGTAAACCGTGCATGAGCTTCATCTTTACAAAGCGAGTACATTAGGAGCTAATTAAGAGCGTAATTGGGTTAGTCGGGCAGCAATTATTATGATAATTTTTGTTTCAGTGTTTGCTGAAACTGTGCTCTCTCCTTCAAATGGCAAAAGTTATTTGCATACTTTCTTTGTAGAATACACCTACGTTTAATGTTGTTCAAACATATATGTTTTATATAAAAATATTTTTTGTTCCAAAAATAATTTTTATTCACGGACTAAAGGGTTTTTAACTAAAAATAGTAAATTTTATATTGCTTCATAAAGTATAGGGTTGTGTATGGAATAACATATCGAGTAAATAATAGCCTCCTCGGCTTTGCTGGCACATAAGCACTGTTTAATCGAAATTTCCTAATGACAGTTTTACATAAATCCGGTTGAATTTCATTAATACAGCGCTCAATTTCGTCCTTCAATGCCTGGGTGGTCGTGGGCTTGTTG